CCACTGGAGCGGCGAGCCTCCACCCATCGATGAGAAACCGGTAGGAGTCACAAACGATGAGTCTCACATATCAAACCATCACCTGTGCGTCTTCTCGCTGTCTGCCTGTCACTCTATAGGCCCGTCGTCTGCCTCCGACATCCTCGCCAACGTCCTCGGCCACCTGCAGCCATGGGAGCTGGCCCGCCACCGACGGCACCTTGGCAAGGCCCTCTTCCAGCAGTCGGCCGCCAACTACACAGAGCTGGTCATCAGCTGTGAGGACGCTGAGGAGCGACGGCTGTGGGCGGCCATGCCACTGGCCACCGCACACAAGTGGGGCCGGCGGATGACGCATTTGAAGCGTCTGAGGGTCCGCGCCCCATTCGACCGGCCTGGCTGGTGTCTGGGTAAGTATGCGCACCCACCAGTGCAGCAGAAGTGCAGGTCTCACTCACCCTCGTGTGCTATCGTGGATGCGTTCTGTCAGGACATTTGGTCGCCGTCACTGAGGGCCATGCCGACGGGCGGGCGGCGCTCGCGGCGAAACAGCAGCAGCAGCAGCAGCACTCGGCGGAGAGCGAGGCGAGCGGCGGCGTGGCCATCTCAATGCAGAGCGGTGACGACGGCACGCTAGAAGAGCTGTCATTCGAGAGTGTGCCGATCCCGGCCCCTCCCCCCACACCTGGGCCCCTCCCGGCCCCCTCGCCCATCAAGACCATCAACCTCCCCGCTCTCACGACCGTCACTGCCGTCCCGCAGGAGGTCGCCCGCATCCGCACGGACCGCTCGTGGCTGACGCCCAACCTCTCCACCCTCACCTTTGAGAGAGAGGTGGACCCAGAGGCTGTCAAGGAGTGGGTCAAGGGATGCAAGGGGTTCCACGAGCTGGGGATTGGGGGTCTGTCGGTGGAGGCGACTCAGGAGGTTCTGCGCGTCCTGCCGGAGGACGGCAAGCCCCCCTCGCAGCTGCGGTCACTCGGAGGCATCGAGGTGTGGTTGGCCGATGCTGACGCCATCCGCCGGCTGCGCGAGACACTGGTGGCGCGGGGGGCCAAGGGCACGCTCGACTTCAGCTCCCTGCACATCTTCCCGCCGCGAGAGCCGAGCTGGGACGAGTATCGCCAGATGACCGGAGACCGCGATCGGATCAAGGAACTGGCAAAGCTCACGTAAGCACGACAGCGGGGGGATCAGAGAGGACAGTAAGTACTGGCGAATGTGTCTGTCTGGTGCTGTGTCTGGCATTCATCCAGGGCCGACGTGGTGGATGCTGATCCCCTGAAGCAGCCCATTCGCCGCTGCCGTGGCGGTGGGGGTGACATCGCTGCCGGGCTGGTGACCTGGGCCCACCGTCACCGCTGCCCCTGGGTGCGCAAGATCGTCGACTACCTGGCCGGCGGGGCGTTGAGAGTGGTGGTATCGGGAGACGAGAGGACGGCAGCGACCATCACCAACGACACATTCCCCATCGCCGTGCAGGTGCAGGTCGAAGCGGGCGCCCTCACGACGGCAGAGAAGCGTGCGCCAGCCGCCAGCATCGCCTCCGTCATCGCGATGGGGAGTGTATGGAGCGCGATGGGGGCTGGACGGATGACCCTCACCGTGGGCAGTTTGTCATCGCCATTGACATCCGCTGTCGGTGTGGTGGACTTCCTGACTGCCCTCAAGTCGACCATGAACATCACCGAGGGTGCACCGGACCTCCAGCTGCACGTGTCGTCGGCCGCGGTGTCGGGTGCTGGAGGGACCAGTGGGTGGGAGCTCGGGGGCCGTGCGGCCGATATGTTGAGGAAGGTCCAATTCACTGTTTACGGTAGGCCTCAGACAGTCGTGTGACTCGATGGGTGTATGTATGTGTGTATGGCGGGATCTGTGTGTGTGTCACGTTCAGGTGAGGTGGATGACGGCGAGTGTGGCCCGCTTTTTTGCAATGCCATCGACGTACTCGCGTCGTGCACACAACTCAAGGTCGTCAGCCGAGCAGCAGATCCAAGGGACGCTCTCATGTGCCACTCTGTCCGTTTGGTTCGTTCCTTGCAGGGCGTCGATGACGTGACCATTTGTTTCCAGAGCGGCAGTCTCGCCAGCAAGATGCGGCAGTGGTGGCAGCGTTTGCCTATCGAAGCGCCTGAGGGATTCCACAGGGATTTCAGTAGGGGGTCTCTGAATTTCCAGCGCGGCAGCCCAAAGTCGACGTGGCCACAGGTACTCAGCAATGTGTTGCTATATCGATGTCAGCGATGAGCGGCCGGCCTGTGGTTGGTAGTGTAGATGCCCGTCGATCGTCTCTCTCTCTCTCTCTCTCTTTATCTCCGTGTGCTGCATATGTGTATGTGTTTGTTTTATGTTTGGTGGGCAGTGACTGGCTGACGGGCACTCACTTGAGTGAGATTTCCGTCATGCTGGTGACGGCTCGTCACCCGCATCCATCTCGCGAGTGACATACTCACACCAGACACCACACACACATACATCCACGCATGTCAAGAGAGGGGGGGAGGGAGGGAGGGCTGTGTGTGCTGACTGACTCGGTGGGTCCTGGCGCCTGGCGCCTGGCGCCTGGATGGATGGATGGATGGAGGTATGTATGCATGTTGGTCTCCCTCTCCCTCTCCCTCTCCCTCTTCCTCTTGGCTGTCTGCCCACCTCACTCCCTGGTTTAAGAAATCAAACCGCGACCTTTTTCGGCTCTCTCTCGCCTCGACAACGGACATACATACGTATGGCGGCCCCTGTGTCCACACATTGACGGGCTGACTGACTGACTGACCGACTGGCGTCCGTCCATCCATCCGTGAGCCTGTCAGTCAGTGTGTCGGTGGCTCGCTCTCTGCCATGATCACAAATTCACCCAGGCAGTGAGTTTTGGGTGGATGCACGACACATGCAGATATACAGACGAACGGACGAGTCGTTGTTTGATGGATGACGGCTCCAAGGTGCCTAGGTATCTACTGGCTGCATCCATACAACACGTAAATGATGGGCCGGGACAGAGCAGCATCCCCCCCTCACTTGTCCGTGTGCATATACTCACTGGTCCATACTGCCTGGCAGAGAGAAGAGGCAGAGGTGCGGCTGCTCACACAGGGGGGGCGGGGCTATATATATATAAACGAACCACTGCGACCCGTCAGGCCGATATCTTTATTTATCTTGCCATTCGGTGCGTACACGTATACCGTATGTATTTGTTGCCCAGCTGCCTGTGCATCGGGCGGCCGCCAAGGGTCGGTGCGTGGGTGGGTTTATATGCATGTGTCGATAGCAGTGAGGGTGGCTGGACGGTGGAAACGTGTTCCTGGCTGTTTGCCATTTATTTGACTCGACGGACAAACACACGAACGGGCGGATGGAATGCGAGCAGACAGGCAGGCCATTGCAATTTTGAGCTGGCATGTAAGCGGCCTGCCTATGCACATCCAGTCACCGTACTCACGCGCTCGCCTCTTTTCGTCCCCTCTGAGCGTTCCTCTCTCTCTCATTTTTGTGCGTGTAATTAAGTGGTCGTCATGCATTCGAGCGGCCTGACACCCATCTGTCTGTCTGTCTGTCGTCATGATGAACCATTCCGGTGCGTTTTAAGTCGTGCAGTGGGAGGCTGGGTGGCCATGGATGGATGACATTAAGTCCGTCGCTCGACAGGCGCCAACATCACGATCACGTGTGTGTGTGTGTGGATGGCATTGAATGGATGGAAAGCTGCCTCGCTCTTTTTTTCCACACACATGAGACGATGGATGGACGCTGTGCGTGTGGTATACTGCTCGTACTCTCACACGTCGACGTAGTGCAAGGACGGACACAGATTCATTGGAACAGAGACACGGCCGCGTCATAAATCACAGGCACACACTCAGAATGCAGAGTTCCACGACACCAACACTGCGACTGTCCATCCATCCATCCATCACGACCGTACACAGACAGCGATTTGCTACCGAGTGCAAGACCATCAGCTCTCCACACACGAACCGTCATGCTGAGTGGTGATCACACACAAACAATCATCAATCACCTTTCCCCACACATCCAGCCATCTTCGCAGGTCTGCCTGCTCGTCACTTAGTATCACAGCCTCTAGAAGGAGTCGGTTGTGTCTTGCGCCTCTCTCTCCTCCAGTGTGCAGCAGCGGCGGCAGCAATGCCGACGTCCTACTCTGCAAAGGCGGCCATGTTCCAAACCCGCTCGCTGCACCACCAGACCATCCTGCACGTTCACACATACAGACAAAGACACAGACACACAAACACACCCGTATCTCAACAGAGTGGTCACGTGAAAAGTTGAGGGCCGCCTGCTCTTATCAATATGTCTCACCGGCAGTGGCCCAACTACCCTTCATCCACATCACACAGCACGTTGTCTGTCCTATCTCGCTTTCTTTCTCCCTCTCGCCATCAGATTTGCAGACTTCTCCCTCCCCGTCTGTCTGCATCTTCTGCCGAATCCGTATGGCCTCAGCCCTCACCTGCGGGGTCCATCGCACCAAACCACACAATGCATACACGCTCTGTCTGTATCCGTGTGCCTGCGTCACCTGAGGGGTGATGTATGCATACCGTGGCGCGTTGAAGGCTTCTTCCTTTGCGCCAGAGCCGGGCGCTTATACTGTAGCTTTACACCGCGCCGCAGACAGCCACAGGGCTCTTGGACGCTATCACAGATGCCAACTTGAGCGCACCATCTGAATGAATAAACGTCCACTCAAAGTGTCTTCTGCCAGCGGGGCCGGTTGTCAATTACGCACCTCTCATGGCTTCGGCAGTCGGCTCTGTCGCGCTGACCAGCCCGCGGTCATACGCCTTTACTCAACCATGACGACCCACCCACACCCACATTCCTCCCTCCGTGCCGACCTCTCGTGTGCGTCAAGCCGGGGGGAAGTGTAGGCAAGCCCACGAACCTGACAGACAGACAGACATGCACACACAATGAATAGATCAGACTGACGTGCAAACCCATCCATCCTTTCTTCCTGCAGCCTATCTTCTCGCCCATCCCTCCCCTCCAGTGCGTGACCTGACCTGCTCTCCTTGCCGCACACACACGGGCATCTAATCATCTGTTCACTCTGCTGATAACAAGGAAGGGAAGCCACGGACGCACCACAGCCACAGCTGCACACGTGTGTATGCGGCTCTCACTGACTGATGGTCTCCACCACTACTCCCGGGAGGGAAAGAGCCTTAGAGCCTCAAAGCCGTGCAAATCAACAAAGCGCCAGATCACCGCTCCCCGTTTCAGATCGCCACACCCACGCCAATTCCTAAACTCCCCGTAAACACAAACATCACGTAAAGGTCTCGAAATCTCTTCCATCCGTTTGCGAGCTAGGCTCGCACACGCGAAGATCTCCGCTCCCCATCCAGACCTACCGGACACATTCAGGCACTGAGGACGTGTGAGATGTGATGCTGTGGATTGCTGACTCAGCTTCTCACCTGACCACCTGACGGTGCGCATTTTATATATGCTCCGCTCATCCCTCCCTCTCAGACGTCTGGTGACCCACACGGCGCGGCGTCCCGTTGGCCTCTCAGACACCGCCCGCTCATTACGTACTGCAGAACCGCCCTTGCCGGTCTCTCCTTCCGAGTCAACTGACTGAAGACGTCGATGGACAGCGGCCGTATGAGAGGGTCCCTGAGGTCTTGCTCCTCTGATGCAGTGGCGGGCAGCTGCGGTGGCCGCCAAGGCACTTCGCCGATGGCATCCCATGGACAGCAGCCGCATAGCCGCATAATGCTGTCTCATGCGGCGTCTGGCGCACTCGACAGAATCTCTCAGTTGCCCGCGTCGTTGATCAGGACTTGTTGGTCCTCTGCTGCTTCCCTCCGCTGCACACACAGCGTCGCGAGATCATGTGCGCCGTGTGTTTGTCGGTGCGGTTGTGCTTGACCAAATGCGTCTTCTTGCCGCCGTTGTCGGTGTGCAGGTGCCGATCAGATTGACGTCCCTGTCGGGGAGATGACCAGGAATATTTGCGCGCTTCACTGGCTGAAGATCCGTCCCCCTTTCGTGAGCGTCTTAGCGTCGGCGCAGTGACAGAGATGCGGTGCTCTGCCACATCGCCCACGTAGAGCGAGATGATTGGGGCACTTCCTCAGAAAGAGCTGCCAGATCTGCCGAGGAAGGCAGACAGACAGGCAGACAGACAGAGAAGGAAGCCTCCATCCGCCCACAGCATCGCACCGCATCATCCAGCCTTTCCCCTCCCCTCCCCTCCCCTCCCTCTCTCTGTGTGTCTGACAGTTCCGACTCCATCAGCGCAGGAGATCTCTGCCGATCTCCTCTCCGTCAGGGCTCCGAGTGCTGCCGCCCAAGGTACACACCGAGGACAAGAGGGAAACAACTGATTGCGCACATGTCTCACCATCCACACACGTGCATTTTCTCCCTCTACTGTGCCTGCCTGTCATTTCAGGTTTCGTCGCATCTTGTGCCGCTTTCGAGGTCGAGAGCATCCCCCGCGACGAGACCAGGCAGGCCAGGAGGGCGCGGCTGGGCATGGAGGGCCTCGGCGTGCATTCCCATGGTACCATGGACAAATCCAAGGCAGCCGACGCCAAGTCACGGGGCAACGCGGCCTTTCAGAGGCAGGACTACACATTGGCCGCCGAGTGCTACACCGAGGCCATCAGCCACGACCCCACCGACAGCGTCCTGTACTCAAACCGCAGCGCCGCCTATGCCTCGCTCAACGAATTCACAAAGGCGCTGCAAGACGCCGACAAGTGCGTGCAACTCAAGGGCGACTGGGCCAAGGTGAATCGATCAACAGGGTGGGGATGCACACACGCACACACGCAGACAGACACATAGAAGAGATCTGCATAGAAAGGCATGCAATGCGTTTTGGTGACAGGGCCATGGCCGGAGGGGCTTTGCCCTGTTTCATTTGGGTCGACTGCTGGAGGCTCACCTCGCATACAATAAGGGTACGTGAGGCACATCTGGACTATGTATGTGTGTGAATATGCGTTTGATGTCTTTCTTCTGTCAGCTCTGCAAATCGAACCCGGCAACGCCAGTCTGCAGGAACGGCTCCACAGTGTCATGTGTGCCGGATCACTGACCCAGTGCTTTTCCTCCCCCCGTGAGTTCCTTCGGTACGCCCAGATGGCCTGCGAGTCCGGATCCGTCGAGAACATTGGTTCGACGATCCGCCGATCGGCCGATTTACGGGACCGCATAACCAACGTAAGACGTTAATCCATCCACCCACCCATCCACCCACCCATCCATCCATCCATACATCCAAGCATCCATCTATCCATCCATCCACTCACCCAGCCATGCACCTATCTCCCTCTGTGTGGTGTGGTGTATTCGTGGCAGAGCCTCGGGGGCAGCATCTTCCAGGCCGCCCACGCCGACTATCTCAAGCTACGATGTGTGGCGTGCGGCAAGATCGCCCACAAGATGGCCGTCTGTAACGGCTGCAACCTCGCCCGCTACTGCTCGTCAGAGTGTCAGCGTACCGACTGGCGTGCTCGCCACAAGGACGACTGCAAGACGGCCACCGAGTATCTGACGGCAGACTGGTCCCAGGTGCAGCACAGCCCGGCGGGGGTCATGTATGTCATGGGGTGGATGGGCAGACCGACGTTTGAGGAGACGGTGGTGTTGTCGCAGAAGGCGATAATTAAGGAGATGGTCAAGGCAGGGGAACGCATCATCTTCACGAGCATTTGGGTCAGAGACCTGAACCAGGTGGGGGTCCAAGTGCACACACACATCGCATCACCATCTCTCTCTCTGTCTTCCTCTCCGTGTATGTGTGGAAACCACACCCATGTATGTAGACCCGTTATTGCACGATGTATGTCACCTGCTCTACCGCCGCCCCGTCCCGCCCTCTATGTGCGTCTGAATTCACCCCGCATCCGGACGGGAAGTCTGTGGCCTCCTACAAGTACTTCAGCCTGACCCCTGTCGGCCCACGCGGCGCCGCCCCGCGGTGGCGTGCCACCACCGCCCCCGTCAGTGAGTCGCTGGCTGCCATGGAAGTCATGTGCCGCACCCTCAACGAGGCTTTCAAGACCATCCTGGTGGAGTCTGATTTCACGCTGGTGCCGGAAGTCTCCATCGGGTGCCGCATTGAACTTCCGGCGGGTGCCCGATTCTGGCGCAAGATCACCTGTGAGGCGAGCGGCTTCAACGGCGCCGCCCACTGCTGGTGGCACTTCAATCCGATCATCATCAGTGTCAGCAAGGAGGCCCTGGTCAGTCACTCAGTCGTCGACCCATGCTTTGCCTACCCATCTATGTATGCGTGGCCAATCTCTCTCTCTCTCTCTTTTCTCTCTCTCTCTCTCTGTGTGTATGTGTGTGTGTGTGTGTGTCTTGTCGGGTCAGATGCGTGCGTCGAGGGCTGTGTGTGGGCGTCGACTGGAGCAGCTCAAGGTGGCGGCCGATGTGTTTGAGCGCACATTTCTGGACCGTCGCGGCTCCAACTACCTCTCGCGTGATATGTGGGGGCGCCACTTCAAGGCCGTCATGGACACGCAGGTCGCCAAGGCTGCCATCGCTGGCTACTGCCAGGCCAACGTACGCGGCATGACGTGCAGACACACACAAACAAAGGCAGGCAAGGCACAGCAAGAAATGTGTTGCCTTCTTCGATGTGTAGAAAGGTGTGCGGGACCGTCATGTGAAGTCTCAGCTCGTCAAAGAGGCACTCGCCTTCACCGACGTGTTCCGCATGCACTCCATCGAGTATGCTGAAGACGTCCAGCGGAGGGCACGCGGTGCTGTGACGCAGTCAGAAGTGCTGGATGACTACACACAGGCCGAGGTCGATGGCGCCAAGGCTGAGCTGGCCGCCCTCGAGCCGCAGTACCCGCCAGACATAAAGGCCATCATCGATGCACCCGCGCCACAGGTCAGTGTTCAAGGAAGGAACAGGCAGACAGGGACCTGCGTGATCGTGTGGTTCGTTCAGGCCAGCTGAATGAAGGGACGGCAAGGCAACGCCTGGCTGTGCGCCGAGCGTTTTTCCTTTTTTCTCTGGCGAACCCTTCACCATTTATCCATCCATCCATCCATGCGGATCCATCCTTGTGCGTGTGAGTGCGTGTGAGTTTGGTGGCAAGGAAAGGCTGACAGGCATACAGGCCCACACGTGTAGGATAGATATGGACAAGTAGGTGTATGTATGTGTACATGGATTGACAGACAGGTGTCTGTCTGTCACTGCAGGAACCCTCAGCTAGCAGTGAGTGAATGGGTCACAAGAATATTAATATGCACACTGGATGTCGTGTTGAAGCGTGCGTGCGCCGAGGGATGGGCGGCAGGCGGGCTGCTGTATGGCTGTCACCTTTTTGGTATCCATGTGCATGAGGCTGTCTCTCTCTCTCTCTCTCTCTCTCGGCGTGCGTCTTGGGGTGTGTGTGTGTGTGTGTGAGACTGTTTATGTTGACCTCCCCTCTGAGTGAATTCTGCCTCGTGTGAACGTCTCAATTGGTTAATCAGTAGTCAGTCACGGCACCATGCACATACACACCATCCACATAACATCATTCTCTCTCTCCATCCACCATGCTGCCTGCAAGTCGCTTTCTTTCCAATCGGACGGACTTCTTCTCATCTTGAAACGGACTCTTGCATGCCAACGAACTCATGACTGACGTGTGCACAACGCGTTATTTCACGCAAGGAAGGAACATGAATGCGATGATGAGTCAGTCAGTCAGTCAGGAGGGCCTCACACAACACACTAGGTACCTACACCTCTGCTGCTGCTGCTCCTCCGCGTGATGCCGCTGTCGCTGCCGCACCCCTGCCTCTCCCCTTGGTAGTGCCGCCCTCTCCCCTGCCTGGGATTTGTGTTGCCCTTCCGCTGGGCGCCTCGCGGTTTGGCTGCGGCGGCCTTGTGCGCTGCGCGCCCCACCCGTGTCGTCCATCTCCTCGTCTCGTCCATTTGCCTTGCCCACCGTCGTACAGTACTGCACCTGAATGGCCGACCGCTTGAGCGACGAAAGGTCAGAAATGCTCAGCTGACTGACACACAAATCCCTGCGCACACACACATGCACACATCCATCTACGCCGTGCACCCGCCCACCTCTCCCTGGGCTCCTTCCTTCCTGCATATATTGCGTTTCGGCTCCTTGGGCTTTTGCTTGGCGATTGAGTGCCTCGAGGCACCCTTTCTTCAGCAGCACTGACTGACTCGGAGGGAGGCTCGTCCATCTGTTACCTTGTTGGTCTTGAACCCCAGCTTGACATCCGCCCGCCGGAAACACCTACCTGTGGCGGCCTCGCCTCCACCATCCACCCCCTCGCCGCTCATCACACGTCCCCAACACGCAGGTACAGTACAGGTCATAGGGGCTCCCTGATGATGGGTTGGAAGTCGTTGGGAACATTATCACACTGTTGGTGTCGTAACGGCCATAAGGATTCCGTGCGTAATCGCGCGAGACCCCGTGTCGAAGGAGAGCACTTTGCTGTCCGGGTGCAGCGAGCGCCAGACTCGCCAGCCAGCGGACCTCTGTTATTAGCAGCATCGTGAGCTGAGTACTGTACCCTTCATGGGCCCCTCCACTGCACAGGTCACCATCTGCACCGCAGCCAGCTGCTCTCAGCTGAGCTGACGATCGGTCGTACATCATGTATCTGCAATGTACATATCACATCAGACACTGGGCTGGGCGGCTGGGATTTCGTCCCCCTTCGCTGACTGACCAGGTTGTTCTGGAAGAGCCGGCCGGAAGCGCCCATCTCATCTCGCTCCCGTCGAGTCGACTGCCTCCAGAGCAAAGGCGACACCCGTGGCCACCAGCGGGCAATGCGTCACTGCAAATCGCGTCCCATTAGACGACCTGTCATTGACGATCTCGTGCCAGTTGAGGATGCGCAGCGGGTAGGCCTTTGGCTCGCCATCGACCGTCACGCCAAGCACCCAGTCGTCGTCACTCACGGCCGCCTCGCCAGCTGGAGAGAATTCTGGGCTGTAATTGAGGGCCTGTCAAGGTCAAGCACACAGGCAAGATGCCAACATGGCAGTGAGTGTGATCTTGTGATTACAGTGCTTGTGTGCTTCAATCTATCGCTTCATTGCTGACCGCCCCTGACGATGCCCTGCAGGTCGATTTGGCAGCCGCCAGATGAGATCTGCGCCTCAACCGGGCTGCAGAGAAGCAGCAGAGGAAGCGCCAAGGCTCTAACGAGAGATCTCGTCACTTTGCTGTCGGTCGCCCTCCTCCTCCTTCCTGTTTGAGCTCGCCTGCGCAGAAGGAAAAAGGAGGCGAATGGGGAATCAGGTGATCGTCAGCAGCAGCCAGGCTGTCTCGCCAGCAATTGGCAACGAACAAATCGATTTCATCCACAGCCTGGGCCGGGATGCGCTTCACACCCTCGAGGACACCGGCAGCATCAGATCCTCGGCCCTCTTCCTCGCACAGATAGACTTCTCACCCGCCGTCCTCCGGAGTCGCCTGGGGCGGTCACTCGCAGCAAAGGGGCTGGAGGGTGTGATTCAATTTGACCAACAGCTGGACGCGAAGCTGCTGCTGAAGGCCATCTGGCTGGTGGACACGCAGCGGTGGACGGAAGTGGCCAATGCGCTCCGGCTGGCGGCGCAGAGGCGCTTCTGTCAGCTGCCGGTCAACCTCACGGTGCAAGACATGGAGAGGCACCCGACCAAGCAGGTACGTACGTACATGACTCAAGAAGACGGGCAGAGGGAAGATGCAAGGGTGTGTGCGTGTTGTGTGCGTGTTGTGTGGTGCTCATGTAGGGGTTTGCTTAGCCGATGTGCGCGTGATTGCGTTGTGGAAGCTGGTCGGCAGACACGTCAACTTCGGCGGCAACTCCGGCCGTTTTGAGCTGTTCGACCAGCCGGGCGGCGGTGTGCGTGCCATCAAGGACAAGCCCGGCTACGAGCTGGACATCAACCCCCCCCCTCCCCCCCGCCCACCCATACCACACACACGCCATCAACGACAACCCCCCCGTCAGATCCTCACAAACGGCCGGTAGTGACATGGCCACTCATGCATCGATGTCGGCATTCATCATAAGGGTGATCCTGGACGTCCGTCCAGTGGCGAATTGGCCCCCGGGCAATACTCCTATGGTCTTCGTAGACCGGTACGCAGGACACACCACACTCAGGCAGACCCAAATCTATCCATCCATCCATCACGGCCTCTTCCCTCTGTTACCTGTTGGTCTCCTCAGGCATGCCCACGGCGGTGTGCTGGACGGCCTCCTCAACCACTCGCCCCACCAGCCCCCCGACCGATGCACCGCCATTATGGCGGTGCGGGTGGACGACGACGATCCCCGCGCTGAGGTCCGGCGGCTGCTGCTGACGCCGTTCGACAGCCCATTCGTCGCGGAGATCTTTCTCGTCACCCCATTCGTCGACACGAACGAAGGTGAGGGAGGGGTCATGCATCCTCTGTTGACTGGGCCATCCTCCGATATGTGTTGTTTCGCTGAATGCAGTGGGTGTGTTCGTTAGCACCAACGAGGCGCCCGTAGGTGATGCATCGGATGCCTTCATGGACCGCCGGCCCGCCACCGCCCCCCTGGTGGGCGGCCTGCTGACCAACGCCATCGCAGACATGTTCATCTACCAGAAAGAGAGAGCTCAGCAATAAAGGCTGGTCAGGCGAGCTGTGTGGTGGAAATAGAGTAGTGAATGGGGGCTGGGACCAATGAACGATATGGGCGTGTGCAGTGTTGCCGATACTGATGGATGGATGGATGGCAGTATGGCAGTCAATGGACAGTTCATATGTGTGGACAGTGCAGTGCAGATCAGCCATTGCATGGTGGTTGATACACAACTACCACTTGACCCACACATGAGAGAAATGCATGGATCCACACACATGAAATGGTCAGTCAGAGGAAGCGTCCCTCGATGCACCATTTACACAGACAGACATCCACTGTACAAGCATCCGTCGACACCATACTCATAGCACCAAAAACACCACAGACACAATCACACGAGTGCCCCCCCCACCGTGGTTGTCGTCGTGGTCAGGTCACTCGGCTGGGGCTTGATCTCATAGCTAGGGGTACGCCAACGGGGCGTAGTTGAGAGAGCAGCGCACCCAGCCGGGAGATGAGATGCCCTGACAAGACAAGACAAGACAACCCAGCCCACACACGCATCGCATCCATCGCAACGATGGTCAGTCATCGCTGTCTGCCTGCGTGTGTGCTCTCGGACCGACCTGGCGCAGCCAGTTGTGCGTTGGTCTGAGAGAGGACCGGTATTGTACGGTGAGGAGCTCGTCGCAGTGGCGGAGAAAGCGGTAGAGCTGACTGCCTGGCCTTCCCTGACGCCCTCCCTGCTCACCTTTTGCAGTAGAGCCAGTTTTTTGTTGCGAGGCGCCGGATGCGTGTGCCGTGTCGCTGGCTGACCACGGGGAGATTGCTCATGAGGAGAGAGAGGATCGACTGACACACTTGGCTTCGCGAGTGTGTGACCGCCCGATGCACACGTTATTGGGGAAGAAAGACATACCAATCGTTCTGACTGAAACCAAACACACAGACAGATAGACAGATAGACAGACAGACAGACGAATGAATGATATATCGGTCCATTTTGCCAGTCAGTCTGTCCATTTTGGCATGCAGACGAATGATCATTTGCTCTGCGCGTGTCGTGTGTCGTGTCGTGCCTTACTTAGACACAATGAGGACTTACTGCGTCTTTCTGTTTGTCTGAGTTGAGTTGCCCTGTATGTATGTTTCTCGAGCGGATACGTACTTGCGCCCATAAGCAAACAACACGGTCACTGGTGCACTGCACCTCGTGACTGACATTGCGGCTCTTGCCTGCCTGCACTCAAGAACAAGGGACACACAAATCCATCTACGGATGTGTGAGTCGACTTTGTGTGAGTGAGTGCATCCCCTCCCTCTCAGCCATGACCTCCGCCGCCAGTGGAAGACACCTCCCTACCTTCGTTCTTGTCGCTGGGGGTGTTCTTGCCGCCGCAGAGCGTCTCGCTGGTCTGCATTGCCTTGGGCTGACTCAGTCAGGACCCACTTAATTGCCGAAGTTGGTCATTCATTCATGTGCGGCTCGCCGGCATCTTGCCGCTGGTGTGTGTCGTTGTCCACCACTCCTTTCCTTCCCGGTGAGGTGAGCTGAGCTGCTTCTTCCACAGAGACTTCTGCCTGCTGCAGGGCGGTCCTGTGAAAGCATCTTATTCTCGGATGCGATGCGCACAACCGACCGACCTGAACGAAGGGCGGACACAACCAACAAGCAACGACAATGAATGCAATAAATCAATGAACAGATGGCTGGCCTGAGGTGGGGTGGTGTTTGCCTCTCTGATGCCGCTGCGTGCTGGCTGTGCATTCATTCATTCGTTGACTCATCGACCAGCACATACAGATGACCCAGCGGCAAACCAAGGGCATGAGGTATATATATATCGTCTGTCTGTCTGTCTGTCTGCCAGGCCGGTACGCAGCGGTCGAGGTGGCCCCCCGTCTGACCTTCGTTGAAGAGCTCTGCCTCGTCCTTGCTCCGCAGTGGTCGGATGTCGATGAGGAGGCCCTCCCTGCTTGTAGAAGATATTGACTGACTGGGACGGGGAGAGGGATGTCGTGTCGTAGATGAGTAGCGGTACAAAATCACCACCAACGCGACGACACGATGTGCGCCATCCCATCAGCTGGATGGCGTCGGCCACCCACCTCGCCCCTCCAGCCGACATACGAGGGCCTCTGTCTGTGACCCAGTGCCGACCACCGAAGTTGACCTCGTTCTTGACATCTCCAATCACCAACCTACAAACGAACACACCGACGCACCACCGAGGGATGGATGAGCTAGCTAGCCGCACAGACCCATCATTGTGCGCATACCCTCTCAAATACGATGTCCCTTGTCCCCTGGCTGGGATTGATCCAGTAGCAGGATGGATGGAGCTCTTGGAGCTCTCCTGGTACGGTGACCTACTTGCGGAAGGAAGGTGCCCTCTCCCTCCCATAGGCAGGCAGCGCTGTGACCATCTTGTCTTGATGGCCTTGTCCCTGTCCTGCTGCCAGAGGCGCTGCACTGCACGTCGGCAAAGCTGTGGATGTCATTCTCATGTATGGTCATGTGCGAGTGGAGATCATCATCGTCCTCAGCGTACGTCCAAGTCACCAGTAGTAGTACTGTAGAGTGAGTGATTTGTTACTGCTGCCTTGGGCGAGGTCTGTGGTTGTATTGTCTTCGATCAACACGCCCAACATGCCGTCTGCACAGACAGACAGACAGAGAGATTTTGCTCATTTGACTTTCTGGCTGCTCCTTCCTGGCTGCGCTATGGCCTTCCTGTGCGCCTCTCTCCAACTGATCTGGGGATCTGTGCCGTTGTTGGTTGGTTGGTTGTGCTTTTCCTTCACACTTCTAAGCTCGCAGGGTTTGCCAACCGATCGGTGTGCTGGGGGTGTTTTCTCCCCTCATGTACTTGGCCATTCTTCTCGCTTGACGAATTCGACAGGAACAGGTGACACACACAACACACACACCCATCCATCCATATCATCCATCCATCCCCTGGATCCATCCATCCATTTCGCCATGCACCACGGTCCGGTCCTCTTCCCTCGATCAGATCATAGATGTCGGGTGTTGAGGCCGAGGCCGAGAAGGATATCGACATGGCAAACGAATCGGTCAGCGAACGATGATTCAACAAACGACAGCCGGGCATCTTCCGTGTGGGATTGGATACATTTGCCAGGATGAGGTCGTTGGCGTTGGTTTGGCTCAGCTCGAGTCCGAGTGTGTGTATGAAGTCGGCGACTTCCTCACCACCATCGAGCGCAAGCCGCTCTCACTCGTGTGCCACCAGCTGCACCAGAAGACCACCGACGCGTCATACGGCATCCTTTACCGTGACCTCACCATCTCCATCCTCGAACACAACTACTGGAAGAAGATCACCAACCTCACAGGCACACTCAAAACACGACTGGTGGGTGGGCGGATGGGCGGATGGGCGGGAGGAGGGAAAGGCATGGATGTCGAGTGGATGAATGGTTTTCTGTATGTGTGTGTGGGGGGGGGTCAGAGCAAGATCAACACGGCATTTATCGAGACCGACGCTGACGAGGATGTGCTGCCGTCTGTAGTGGAGGCATCGAGGCGTCCAACGCCACACTCAGCTACATCGGTGTGGACGACCCGGAGCGAGAGTGCTTCTTCAACGTGTTCGGCAACAGGGAGGGGGCGGGGGAGGGAGAGGGGATGGGGGAGGGGGGTAGGGAGCCAGTGGTGTTTGAGAAGACCCAGCAGCTACACCTCACGGATACACGATACCTAGACCTAGCCGAGTAAGGGGAAGAGGGGCGGGAGGGGCTGCAGAGGTGCAAATCTTTTGGTTTGTGGTGTGTGTTGGTGTGTCGTGTTAGGGATCGCAAGTGGGCGTTTCCGAGTCTGGAGGTGCTGAGTGTGGGCAAGGTGGACCAGGAGTGTGTCGACAAGTGCAACCACCTTCCGGCCGTCACCCACATCGTGTCAGCTTCGCCGAAGATCACCTCCATCACGGCCGATGTCATCGTCGTCAAGGAGGGGGACGAGTGGCAGGCGTTCACAAGGTAGATGGAAGACTGGCGCGCCTCTGCTTTCGGTCTCACACACATCTTTCCTTCCCTCTTTATGTGTGCGTGTGTGTCGATGTCAGTTCGCTGAGTGGTTGTCCCAAGCTCACCAGCATCAGCGGCCTCTATCTCGTCCCGCCCGAGAATTACTACAGTGAACCTGAGTGAGCGGGGCCAGAAACTAGATGGGAGGGAGGTATGCACCATGTCATATGTCCCTCTTCCTCCTGTCGTGTGTCAGTCCCGTTGAGTACATCTACGATCCGCTGGGCCGCCTCACCACGGCACTCGACACCAACTGGCGCACCGATGACATGAAAGGTAGGGGAGTGGGTGGGGGTGGGCAGATTAAGACCACACACAGGGAGGGACTCTTTGCTACATGTGTCATCTGTGCTGTGCAGGTGTGGACAAGACCATCACCATTCACCATCGCTTCTCGTTTGGCGCCGACTTCAGCCGCCAGCTGACAGACCGCAGCGGCCCCAACCACTTCGTGCTGCAGGACCTGCTCAACTGGGCGGACGAGACCAAATGCCAAATCGTGTGGATGCCACGGTCGCCACGGTCGGTGAGACCTGCAGGGGGAAACGAACCGCAGACAGAGACGGGCACATGCTCCGTGTCTATGTGTGTGTGTGTGTGTGTGTGTTGTGCAGTGCGGCCGACACTTTCGAGCCTTGCATCTTCGACAAGTTCGGCCCGCCGCAGTATGACGACGTCGTCATTGACTGCAGCAAGGAGGCCCCGGACACAAAACCCCCGGCCCCGCACGGACCTGTAGGCCAACTCATCGCCAATCTGACGAAAAAATGCGACGCGGTGAGAGAGGGGTGTATGGGGGAGGGAGGTGCAGCACACGGCCTAGAGCAAAATGTCTGCCCTGCTCCTTTTTCCGTTCCTTCTCTCGCAGGTCAAGTTTGTGTACGGCGGTGCCCCCCTGCACGACACGTGGGGGCAGCTGCTGACATTTCCCGCCGCCACCAAGCTCTCCATCTACCCCCGCGACGACGACACCATGGCCGTCCGCCAGGTGGTGAGCAGCATCCCCGAGTGGCTGGTGGCCAAGGACCAGAACGGCAACAGCACCCATCTGCCGGCCATCCAGGACCTCTACATCGACATATATGGGTCTTCCAACACCTCTCACACCGACTCCTTGCCGACCGGTGCTGAGGCTGCCAGGCTGGAGCAGCTGTTGGGGGGTCTGGTGGGGGTGCGTAGGGTGTGGCTCGGGGCAAAGAGCCTCCGCGCCGTGTCGCAGTGTATGTCGTATCTGCATGCCCGTGAGCTGAAGAAGTTGCACATCAGCCTGGGCGAAAACCCAGCTGCGCTACCCGACTCATCACACGTGCCCGTGCCTAGCCTAGCCTACCCTTCCGTCAAGTCGCTGCGTGTGTCGAATGACTTTAGTAAGATCAGCAAGGGGTGCGCGCGGTCTGTCTTGTCTCTGCTCATGTCCATCAAGCCAGCCAAAGCCAGCATCGATCTGACGCTCAGCACAGAGTCACTCGCACCAGGCCAGGGCCAAGACAACGGCTTCGACAAGTATGTCTCTGCTTCCCTCAAGGATTTGCGGCTGGAAGCAGAGAGGAGGGTGGGGTCGGCCTACGATGTGGTGTCGTCTGTGTGTAATGAGGGTAGCATCTCGTTGCGCATGTGGCTAGTGCTGAAGGAGGGGGGCAAGGGAGAGAAGGGCAAGGGGGGCAAGGGGGGAGGCAAGAAGGCCAAGTGAGTGAGGCGATGTGGGCGGTTGGTGCAGATGGTGGGCAGGTAGGTAGCATGATTTGCCGGAGGAACCGACCGTCTCACTCACTGGCATCCGTAGAATGGGCACAATCGAATTCGATTCGTGTATGTTTGCATACCTATCCCCACCCCTCTTCTAATTCGCCATCGCGCGTGTGTGAGGATGGCCTACCACGGCCATTCAGCACGTCGCCATTCCACTGTCGGTGTGCATGTCTGAGTGTGTGTGTGTGTGTTTGGTGTTGGGTGTGGGCATCGGACTGACTGCATGGGCAGGGAGGCGTTACATGAATGGACAATAACCGGTAGCTGATGTCATTGGATTGAATCTCTTGGTTCCCTCCCTAACATACAAAGTCAACTCACCATCCCGATCTGCCTAGCCAACGTACTGCCTACTGATGCGTTCCCATTACGAGAAACAAACAAGACACGCATGGGAATCAGTCAAGCAATCATCGGCTACCTGTCACCA